TTATCCATCCTTTGCCATTCTTCCCTTGAGGGAAGCAAACCATCTGCTTCCTTCCTTTAGAAAAATATTCAGTGAGAGATATGAATGCACCCTTTGCATTCCCCTTGTTCTCCATCACATACCTCCTACCTGACTCTGAGGACTTTTCTTTCCATTTTGTCTGTTTCCCTTTAGTTGCTGCATCAAAGACATATTTCTTTACCCAGACAATCATGTCTGAGTCTTCCACAAGAACTGTAGCCCTCTTCTGTTCTCTTATTTTCAGTCCCATTCTTCCTTTGATCCGTATTTCTTCAAAGAGAAAATCTTTGGCCTCTACCCTCAAAGCTGACCTCCATTTTGCTTTCTCCACAAAGCCTCTATCCATTGCTGAAAAAGTTAATGTTTGTTAGGGTTTAATCAATGTTTGTGTTGATTAAACCCTCTGTTTCTGTGGCTTAAGCTTGTTGATGGACAAACAGAACAACCCAAACCCAGTAGTCGGCAAGCCCAAAACGGTGCATTTGTTACTTTTCCTCTCCCAGAACCCTCACTGCGATCTTCTCATGCCTTGCTTTGTTAGCCCATCAGCTATGGAGTTGGCACTTCTTTTGATCCATACCACTTTTAACTTCAATGTCTTGTGTTAACCACCTGAACATATTTCTTCCATTGCTGTTACACACTTGTTTGATCAGTTTTCCCCTGATGATATATGGAGGAACTGGGAAGTAGTTGCAAGTTCTTAAAGAAAGGAAAGAACAAGTGTTGCTTGGCTACCTCCACCTGATGTGAAGTTGAATTTTGATGGGAGTAACACGGATAATCCAGGAACTCTGCTGGTATAGGAGGGGTTTTGTGAGACATGGAAGGTAAACTGATAGCTTTGTTTTCTGGCCGTGGGGTTTGGGCATTTTCTCAAGGCAGAAATGCTTGCAGCTTTACGAGGATTTCAAATTGCTAATGATTTGAATATAATCAATGTGGTGATCGAAGGGGATTCAAAATTGGTGGTGGGTTGGCTGATCTAACAATCACCTGAACCTGCTGGGTTTTCTGTGACTATTTGGGTCCGGTTGGTTAGGCAAAATAATTTGGGGCTGGTCTGGTTTTCATAAAAATTGGTTAGCACTTGATATTGTATTAATATGTAATATTTTATATGTGGAAACATCAAGATAATGTGTTCTCATGGCTCGTCTTTGCACATCGCATTGACCTCTAACGCATGCTTCAAACCTTGGTAAGGCCTGTTTCCAGTTTTTTGGGTGAGCAATTCAATCTCAAAGCCTGAACTAGCTGGTTTTCATCGTTTATTTGGGGCTACTTCTAGTTCAATCCACTTCAACCAGCTGGTCAGGTTAATACTTTGGGTTTGGGGCGGGGCTTTTTTTTTGTAGAAATCAGTTGAGACTTATAGGTAAAATTGTGTGTAAACATATGAATCTACATTAGATGGAAGTAGATTGAGTAGAAATTAAGCAGACGGCCCCAGAATCTTAATTAATTTGTAGCGTGACGAGTACTGGATTCTACCTCTAATCATTGGTCGCCATGCTTCATCTTGAGCTTTTCTGAGATATTGGAGTTATTATGATGTTATTTCTGCTTATATGGAAAGAAATTCCGTGTAATAATTGAGCACTGAAAAATACTTTTGACATCCAGCATCGTTTATGGATTATATATATTTTTTTCAGAGTATCCTGTATCTTGTCCAAAGGGCTAGATAACTCCACGCCTAAACGTCCACCTGTCTCTCGGGTTCTGTCATCACATGATGCTTTGTCTGAACTGGCTTCCATTGCAACTGTTAAAGGAAAAACTCCGATGAATGTGACACCCTCGGATGGTAAGCTCAACAAGCCTTTCCTCCACGTACCTTCGGGGACGGTTATTATACGGTTGCACTGGGTTCCTTATGGGGGCTCGGATCTGCTACCCACGAGTAGTTCTCACATCCTTACCTACGAGTAATTGCAGCTGCGCATTGGAAATGTCCCCCTTATGAGATGTTCCCAATACACGGCGGTGGTGTTGGGTACGGGTGTGGGTAGCAGATCCGGAGTGTTCTTATGGTGTTGAATGTTGCCCAAGAGTCTTCCATTGTTTAAACAGCCTTCGTCCAGCGGTGGAGCCATTACTGTATTTTATAATAAAATACAGAAGTACGGAGATGTTCCCGCTGTAAAGGCTGTTCGAACACCCGGGTCTTGCACTGACTGAAGCCGATCTCAGTTTATAAATATTGCTTACGTTTTATTCACTTGACTGATTGCACATTATGTAAAAATTTCAGAGGGTAGAAAAGTTGGAGGGAATTCGGCAACCCAGGCCTCCGATAGTCTGACATCTGGCAAGAAAGATATTCGTTTCCGGCGGACCGCTTCTTGCAGTGATACAGATGTGTCAGAGACTTCATTCATAGATATGCTTAAGAGCACTGTCAAGAAACCTGTGCTACCAGATTCTGATCCCTTGGCCGGAGCCACAGAATCATCCGATTCCGCACAAGGGAGTAGAAGCGGCAAAAAGAAAGGGAAAAAAGGGAGGCAGATTGATCCTGCACTCCTTGGTTTCAAGGTGTCCAGCAACCGCATCATGATGGGTGAGATTCAACGCCTCGAAGATTAAACCCAATTATTTTGTATTTCTTCTCATAAAATTGTACAGGTTCACAAGTTATGTGAATTTTTGCTGGTGAAAATTCTTTCATTTGTTTTAATTTTTCCCCCTCAATGGGGACAGTGGGCAATAACCTGATTCACTTTTGACAATCAAGGTAGCCCCTTGGAGTGTATTGTAATTTGAGCGTGAGACTTTGTTGTACAGGCGTTTTAAGTAAGAATATTTAAAAATTAAAAAAATGAAGTTTACGAATGAAAGATTATTAATCGTCATTCGTCATATTTAATATTAACTACTTGTCTATGCTCGTCTACTGGAAACACTTGTTAACCATCAACCGGCATCATAAAGTGTTAACCAATCTCAAGTATTTGGTATGCCAAGTTGAATATCAAGGTTTGAGTCTTAACTCTCAAATATTTGGTATGTCAATGTTGAATATGAAGGTTTATATGAGGTAAAACAGAAATTAAAGAAAAAAAAAGAATGTTTTGTTTTGATATTCATGTGTGATATTGTACAAATAAATAAATATAAAAATAACAAATAAGTACATATGTATTCCTATGTATATGTAGTTTATCATCATCTGGACTATAATGGAGATATCAAAGGAAAACCACAGGGATATAAAATGTTATCCCCGTCCAAAACTTGAAGTGAGCAACAGGCATCGCCTAAGACTTGTGATGGACATAAAATGGCATCACTAGTCTGAGACGAACCTAATACACCACCACCTTGCCATGAACATCAAACGACAATCCTTGCTAAAACCAAGGTTTTAAAATGTTAAAGGGAGAGGTGAGGCAGTTGGGTGCTAAGGAGGCGCAAATTAAAAACTTAAAAATTATGAAAAAAAATAAATATTGAAGTTTTACAATTAATTGTTGATTGTTTAAATTTTTTCATCAAGATTAAGTCTTGATGAAAAAATTTTTTCATCAAGTCTAAGGCTCTAAGTTAACTAGTAACTCTTGTTTAGGAATTTTACTTTTTTCTTCAATTTTGAAATTTCAAAAGTTTTAGACAAATCTATTGCTGCACTTACTAAATATAGATGAACTAGACAAATCTTGAAATTTCGAAAGTTTTAGAGTCATTTCCATGGCTGTTATGATAAAACTTCATTGATGGTTGTGACAAAATCTGTTCATGGAAGATGACAAAACGGATCTAGATTCAATATATATTATGAGTTTATGACAACATGGCAATATGTATCCAAGCATCTCATCAGTTATCACTGCACTTACTATTTGAAAGTGAAACTAAAAGAAAGTAGCAGGCTAGCACCTCTGAGTCTCTGACCTCCCATAAATCTGCCGCCTCACTTAGTTCATAGTTTGAGACAAAAAAATAAGAAAAAAGAGAAAAGGAGGAGGAGGAGAGCCAGTACACAAGATTCAAGAAGGAGGAAGACCTGTGAGTCTCTGACCTGTAACCTGTAGATGTAGGTTTACCGGACACTGGATCCATACATTCTGCAATTTATAATTGAAGAATTTTGGTTGACAAACATTTTGAGTGTGTGGTGAGAGTTCACATCAGCCCCTCACGAGGGGCGCCCCACAGCACATTCCAGCCTTGTGTGGAAACATTTCCTGTTGATAGTAAAAAAGGAATTAGGATCTGTTTCTCACACAGGGTGACTTACAATAATTTTACATGTACATCCCATAATGCATTGGAAACATCTTCAGTAAATAATAACACATAAATAGGGAAAATGTTTTTAATGTACGATGGAATGTATAAGATCGGTGTGAGATGCCATGCATGAGTAATAGATTCGGTGTCTACAAAAAGTGATGAAACATCATTGGGAGATATTCCCAATACAGGGTTGAGATGTGTTGTGGAGCGCTCCCTTGTGAGAGCGGCTGATGTAAATTCGTGTAGTGAGGTGAATCTTTTTAAGTCGTGAGGCCATTTAGAGGAGCCACGTCATCCAGAGCATGCCTATGCCCAAGTGGTGAGGGCTACTTCGTTACATGTCAACTTCAAATTAGCGGAAAAAAGCATCATTTCATCTTTTCCAACTGGAGCCTCAAAGTTGTGAATGACGTACACTCCTAGATCCTCTGCAAAGATACGAAAGATAACGAGAGATAGAGGGGTAACTTCGTGCTCTGACTATTGGTGCATAATATTCTATTTTCAGTTTGATGTATCAAGATACAATTTTGGAGGCACGATTAAGAGCAGCAGGAAAAAAAAAACAAAGGCCTGATCCACTTCACAAAGGCCTGATGTTTTGGGTTGAAGTTATACTGTTATGTCTCAAAGGGAAATATGGTGTTGGATTGAATAAGTGGGAAATAAAACTTTGGGTTTATTTCTTTCATAGTTATGTTCCATTATACCCCACAAGGTGCAGAGAGACATCCGGCGAATTTTTTTGCTTAAAACTATTTGGTAAAAAGCGTCATGGCACAAGTGTTTTGGTACAACTGGCAATAAAATTTGATTATTTTATAAAGATATAATAAAAAAAAAAACTTTTCTCTACATTTCTTTAAAACCAAAGGACATTAAAAAACATATTCTCTCAATTTTTCCTAATTAAAGAGAAAAAATGAATCTTCTTAAATTGAATAAAAAAGGAAAAAAACGTAGACCTATATCTTCAAGCTTGTTGGATCTTTTTGGTTGTTCACCAATAATCGTTGCAAGAACAGGTGCCATCTTTAAAATGGTGGAACCGGTTCCTATCCCTAACAATGATCTCCCTGCTATATATCTTTGATATCAATTTTGTTGCTAGATGGCAATCTCCACATGCTCGAAGGTTTTTCATCACCCTTATGGGAGTCCTGGGACTTGTGCTAATAAGCCCAAAGGCAATTGCCAACTTCTCACTGTGATGACACAAAGCTTGTCGTTTTCCTTCTTCACTGGCATCAATCAACACCTGGTTAGTCTTCGGAACATATCCCTCTGCCTTCAATCTCATCGCAACATCATCCAGCATGGAGTAAATATCCTTTGACCGAGGGTGTCTGCTATCCCCAACCATGAATTCATGTATAACATTATCGATTTCAATGGTACTACAACCTGGGATCTTTAGAATCCCTCTGTCTTTCATGAACCTCCTCAGCCTCGCTACATCACCCCACCGCCCCCTGGCAGCATAGATGTTTGACATGACAACATAGTTCCCGTCGTTAAGTGGTTCTAATTCAACTAGCCGCTCCATTGCAGTCTCCGCCAATTCAACGTTAGCATGGACCGCGCAGGCTTTGAGCAACGTCCCCCACACAACTCCATTCGGCTCCAATGGCATGTTTTTCACCATCTGGTATGCTTCGTCCAGGTGGCCAGCCCTTCCCAGGAGATCTGCCAAACACCCATAATGTTTAATGCTAGGTTCAATCCCACAATCCTTTCTCATCGAGTGGAAAAGCTCCTTGCCCTTGTCTACCAGTCCAGAATGCGAGCAAGCAGATAGAACTGCAATAAATGTGATTTCGTCGGGTCTTGTTCCACACATTTGCATTTGTTCAAATCTATCAAGTGCTTCCTCTGCATAACCATGCATGGCAAGTCCCCCAATGATAGCATTCCACGCGCAGACACCCCTCTGACTGTGTAGCAGCTCTTCAAAAATTTGGGAAGATGTTTGGATGTACCCACATTTCACGTACATGTCTATAAGGGCAGTAGCAAGAGTAGGATTCAAGAAAATTTGGCGCCTATTGATATAGGCATGAACCCATTTCCCCATCTCGAGAGCTCCGAGATGGGCGCAAGCACAGAGTACATTAACCAAAGTCAATTCATTAATGTCAACTCCGGAAATTTGCATCTGGTGAAACAGAGCAAGTCCCTCATTATACCTCTTCAGCTTCACATAGCCCGTGATCATTGCAGTCCACGAGACCACATTTTTCTCGGGCATTCTGTCGAACAAAGAACGCGCAGATTCAAGATCACCGTGGTTAGCATAGAAACTGACCAAAGCGGTCTGAGAGTATATGTCCGACTCCGACCCAGAACCTTGCCTTTTGAGTACGAGAGAGTGCACTCCTTTTCCTTGACTGAGAGACGTGCAAGTTTTCAGAAGAAATGTATAAGTAAACTCGTCGGGTTGAAGTCCCCAATGTAGCATTTTTATATAAAGCTCGATTCCTTGTTTAAGAGCGCCAATGAGTGCATAGCCTCTCACCATTGTGTTGAATACGAAGGTAGTTGGTCTCCTCATCTTCTTGAATACTTGGTAAGCGTAACTCATTTCACCTGAAGCCACCAGTGACTCAACAAGCCTGGCAAGTAGATTATCAGTGTCATCATGTGGGAGTTTGATGATTTGGGCGTGGACTTGCTTCAATTGGATCAAGTGGGTGCATTTGTTGAGCAGCGGAAGGCATCTCAATTCAGGTCGATGATGTGACCTAATATGCAGAGTTTCCGACGGTTTAACGTAATCGGGGATTTGGATTTTGCAATTAAGAGCAAAGCCGTTCATTTCCTGCGTAAATACTCTACCTTCCCCGTCTCTTCGTCTTTCCTCAGAATGAATTATCCTAGTTCGGCTGGACGACGAAGCAAAGGCCTGTCAGCTACTCAGCTATCTAATAAAGTGCGTTTCTTCCAATCGTTGGTCGGACCGTCGGATTGCACAATTCACATATGCGCCCCCACAGAGTGCGACCCATCGACTTCGTGAAATCTCAGCATCCTCGTACACCTCATCAGTCCAAGTTACCTCGAACACCTCGTGTCACTTGGCTAGCACCGGGGTCCGAGCAGCTCGCCACATTCACCACCTACTTAGGTGCCATGTAGCCTCCATATAAAGTGAATCAGTTGTCTCCGATCTCTTTGAGATCACGTTATCCACTCAAATTGGACAGACTTGGATAAGCCATATCAGCTTATACGAAATTCATCTTCGGGTGCGGAACAGATTTCGGGTTAGACAAGCCGGTGACCTTGACACGTTACATAGGGCCTACGATAGCTCGTTTATATAAAGGCATTGCCTCTAGCCTCATAAGGTACGCACGATTTAGCTCTCTCTTACTAGAATTCTCAAGGTATCAACTCTTCACAAATCTCCTACGCTAACTTAAGCATCGGAGTGCCCACACCGGATAAAGTACCCCAAAACCTCTAAGCATTCTTGTCTTGTAGTTCGACCCGACCACGTAATAGTCTGACGTCTGAATTACCTTCCAGTAGGGAGCAACCAGATCGTGCTACATCACACCCCAAAAATTGAGTTCACATCATCGACATCTAGGATGTAGAAAAACTTTTGCATCCCCCAATAATATTCCACCATGCCACATAATGTAACAAAACCTAGTCCAATTAAATTTTAACGGCATTTCTGACGATGTAAATAATTTCTTAATTATTAAAATTTGAACACCTGCCTAGGTCCAATCTTATTTTATCTATACTTCCTTTCTTTCTCTAGCTCTCTCCCCGCCATGGTTTTTAAAACTAACTCGGTGACCGAACCGGTCAGAGGTCCGATTACCAGGTTGAACGGTTCGATCGTTCGAACCGAACGCTTGGCCTGTTCTAACAGAAAAAAAAATTAAAAAAAAGGTTAAACGTTTGAACGGTTAACCACCCTGTTCAGCGGTTTGTTGACCAAAATCAACAGTTTTTGGGGGAAATCCGATTTTTAGGGAAAACAGAACTGATCAGTTTCTGGTTTTTCTAGTCCAACCGCTCGGTCCGATTCGGTTTTAAAAACCATGCCCCTCGCCTCCTGTGCTCTCCCATGTTTCACCGTCTACCAGTGATGGTACACATCTCTCACGCTTAGGGGCGAAGCTAGGGGACCCAAAGGAGCCATGGGTCTAGAATTCTCCACTTGGAATAGAGCTTTCCATGTAAAATTCCCTCCTCCCAAACTCTCCACCCCAATGGTTGCCCCCCTATGGGCCCATCCATACTTATTCCCCCCTCCACCGTTCCAGTTTAGGTTTTGGCTTCCCTCACAAAAAATTTCTGGCTCCTCACGTTGGACCTATACTTCCTCTTCAATAACTGCATATCTACTAAAATAATCTAATAAAAAGACAATGGGTGCTGAGTCGTGAATTTAGACTTTGATTAATCAACCATTAACAACTGAATAATAATTTCTTCTTCTCAAGTCTCAACCATTATTTTTACATCCTCTGTTATTCATTTCCTTTGCTTTTCTCTTGAGTTCGACTTCAGTTCAGGCACCCTCAGTTAGGGCACCGTTTGCGCATTTAGAGGACGCGCCAAATCATGTAAACGTCCTCCAAATCATGTAAATGGCTGAAGCATGCGAGGATGCTTTACGTCGTTAGTTAAGCAAAACGAGTGTCTTGTTTTGCTCTTCTCCTCTCCTCTCCCTTGAGTGTCGTAGACGAGACATCTCTCTTCTCCCTCTTTCTCTCCCCCATCCACTCGGTGGCGACTTAACAACCATCACTACCAGCAAAAAATAACCATCACCGACGACGGGATCAACCTAAGCTAGTCAAGCCCTGGCACTAACAAGAGATGAGTGAGGCGATATCAAGTGTGGTGACATGACTACCTCTTCAAATCTCCTAGATGATAAGCTTAATCGGAGGTTATATTTTACCAACTCTTGTTCTTTACAGGCACGTTAGCTTCCTTGGGATGAAGCATGAAGTTCTGAATTCTTCGTAGAACCACTTCCATAGTTTCACTGTCCATATTTGCAAAGCATACTCTGAACCAACCAGGTTCCGTGCAATGGAAAGATGAACCACAGCTCCATCTCTGCTTCGACAGTTGGTTCTTTGAGGAGACCCCTCAAGTCCATCCAACAGAACAGACTGGTGTTGCTCTTCAAACAATCAATTCCCACTTGGGCAAGCTTCGTCATGAAGATCTTATGTCTCGTCGCTAGCCTTATTGCACTCTCCTGGATGAAGCTCTCAACAAACTCGTTATCTGACAAGATGGATGCGATTAGGTGTTGCGCCTGCGTGGAGACGAGTCCAAAGCTGGACATCTTGCGACCGCTATTCACCACGACATCATTATATGAGTACACTATGCCGACCTTGAAGCTTGGTAGTCCCATGTCGTTAGAGAGACTATAGACGATGTGAATGAGATCACGATTGCACTAGGTGTCTTCCTCTTATCTCAGAGATGCTTATGAAATTGGTAGGATGGCTGAAGACAGTTCCTGCGTATATCTCATTGGAAACTAGGTGGATGTTCTTTTGGTAGATGATGTGTCTTGATCTAAGATTGTCCCTAGTGGGTTTGATGGATTTGTGACGATCAAGCCCTTTACTTTGATGTTGGCCTCTTGGACTTTCTTGTACGCCTCTTCCAGTGCACCTCTAGTGATATTGAAGTTGTTAGAGCTGTTGCAAATGACTGGAACAAGTTGAACTCCTGTTCTCCATCTCAAATCTCAATCAAAACTGCAGCACAAGTGTATGACAAAATTAATGAAGGACTATGACAAACTAAAGAGGGTGCCCTGACTGAGGGTGCCTGGACTGAAGCCTAACTAACTCTTTGTTCTTCTTCCTTTCTCTTTTGTTTTTAATAAAGAAAATTCACTGTAAAAGAAAATAATTCCTCCTTTATGGTGAAAGCTTATTGCAATGAAAACATGAACAGCTTCACGCATCCAAATCCAAAATCCAATGGACCTTTTTCCTAAACTGAGACAAACCCACTGCAGACAAACTCACCGAGCCCCTCCCCATCTATCTGCTTTTCTGATTCCAAAACTAAAAAACCAAGAACAGCCCATGGAGGCTTTCTCCATGCCCATACTTTATTTTCTGTTCACACCAGTCTTCTAATCCTCCCATGCCAAGACCATTGCTGTAAATGAAATTGCAGAGTGGAGGAAATCAACAGTTCACGCAGGAGATAAATTGGTAAGTATTCAACTAACAATGCACACAGATAATCGTTAGTGAATAGAGAGCCAAGGTAAGTTAAATTAGGGCCATTTATTAGATGTTTTAGTTGCAGCTGAAGCTAAGATGTTTAACCTTCTACCCTTCTGTTGACAGTTTTCAAATATGAACGCCACCACAACATCTACATTTTCCACAATAGAAGAGCATTAATTCAAACTTTGCAACTCCACTGAATCCACACTTCTCAATCAATCCAACTCCACCTCCTTCATGGTGGCATCTCTCTTTCCTTTTGCGCTGAAATTTAAATATGGGTTCCTTGCTTTACAATGGATGAACTTCCGAATTTCTATGTCATTTTGCTTAGCTCAGAGGGGACCATTACTCCCTGGCTATGCCTATTTTTCTTTCAACAATGGCTCACTGAAAAGCCTCTTCAGAGGCTGAGAATCTCGCCATAAGGGTATTGCCAACTCCGCCGGGTAACTTGGCTCTAGCGCCGGATTCTCTACCACTAGCAGCTCTGCCACCGACTCTAGCGGGATTGTCTCATCCACTCCGGCGTACCATTGGCCGTTCCATTATCATCGGTAAAACTCACCAAGCCCGGCACCAATTGCAAGTCCTCCAGCGACAACAATTCTGTCTATGTTGCCAGATACAGGAGACGACCTGTACCGTCGATGGATCCGTCGCCGGTGGTTGATGGAACAGGGGAGAGCGGAGGGGGCAGAGAGAGAAAAAAAAGGGAGTGCAGAAGGTCGAACACAAACAAAATAGGAACTTAAACCTCGGCGGGTGTTCAAATTTTAACAATTCAGCGTCATAAACACGAGTTCAGATCTCTTGCCCACGAGAACACTATACCTCTCTTCTACCAGACTACAACTAATATAATTTATTAGAATAATACATATATGGAAACAAAGAATAAGAAAAACGATGAAAAAGGAGAATAAGAAAAGAAGTCGATCTATCCTAATTCCTAAATCAAGAGCGAGAATTGATTTCAGGGGATTAGGAGCCTATTTTGAAATTAGCTTCTATTGGTAATCGGTCTTATTTGATCACGTCTATATGTGTGTCGTGTGAATACATAGAAACGTCTCCTCACAAATTTAATATATTTACATGTATGGAAGGAAGATATTCCCAACATGTGGCTGGATGCTATTTACACATAATTCTTACTTACAGCACTTATTCTATCTTGTCATCTAGCTGATTTTAGTAGCAATAAAATAAGAAGAGCCTTGGCAGCATATTATGGTTCATAAGGCTTAGTTTGTATACTCTTTCTAAACTGAGCCTAATTGAAACCCAGAAGAAATGTCACACAAATTTGTAAATGTAAAAAGGCAGATGGAACATCTTATTTATTTCCCGTAATGCCCCTTTGTTCCATGGTTTTGAAAATCGGATTGGTTGACCCAGAAATCGATCAGGCAAATGGTTTTGTTTCATCCTAAAACTGTTTTTAGGCAAAAAACCGTTGATTTGGTCAATGATCCGCTGACCCAGACAGTTTAATTATCAACACGAATAACATTTTTGGCCATTGCTTATTTTAATTATTTTTTAATCAAAACAGGCCATCTATTTGAACCAGATGATCAAACCATTTTACCTGAAAACTGGTAACCAAAATGGTTCCTTATCCGTTCTGGTTTTTAAAACAAAGCTATGTTCTAACTTGGTATAAAGAAGAAGATATAGCCTTTAAAAATCAATCAAGCTCAGTCCTACATTGGCAAATATCTTTTGGATGAAACATGATTTGCGGGTGATTGAAGACATTAACATGAGTTAACAATGCCACTAGCGGTTGGAAGAAATATAGATAGATGTTGGTGATTGATTGATTATTGGTTGGGAAGAGGCGGGGGACAGGCCTACTAGTGCCTAGCAAGTGGAAGAGTGGAAGAAAGATATGATATGTTTAGGGGGCAGAACCAGAAATGGTGTCAAGCTTGTTTTGTGTAGAACCAAAGTAGCCTTCTTTTTTGGATTTTGAAAGGGGTGGTTCTCATTGATCAAGAATCTCATATTCATTTTTCAGATTTATGTGGGGATTAAGAAAAGTTTATTTTCTTAAGTATCAATTATAAGGTAAAACTTTTCCACCTAAAATGAAAGTTGCTAACACTTGAATATGACAAAAATAGTCATTTTAATAATAGATTTTTATGACTAAAATGGTCATTACCTTATTAATTTATCTAAGAAATAAAAAAAACATGGATAAATGCACTTATCCAAGTAAATGTTTCCCAATAAAAACTTATCCAAATAACTATTGCATTTACCCCCGATAAATAACCTAAAAGTTAACGGTGCCCAACAACAAATCCACAGTCGATGTAACGAGGTAAGAAATTGTGTGTGAATAATTTGCAAAAGGCTTGGCATGGCAGGCATTTGATTAATTGTTAATTAATTTCCATGTCTAAATCTGTCAAGTTTCAAAGTTGAGAATTATCCATGATAAACCCATCCTGGACTTCAGCCAACCTAGGATGAATGGCTGAAAGAAGTCCAGTTGGATAAAAAATGACTTAATTAAAGGGGAAACCGATATTAAGCGTAAACAACAGCCATCTCCACACAGAGAACGAAATCAAATAGCTGAGTAGCTGACTGGCTCGCGAACTAAAAAGATCCATGGCCCGTGCCTCGTGGGACTTGGACATGCAATGCCCTAGCTAGGTGGTTTCTTTTCTAAGTTTTGTTTAATCTCTTAAAAATTGACTTAATAACATCACTATGTTGCTACTCTCCAATAGTCCGACAGATTAAATCGTGAATCCCTAAAACAAGTCGGTATACAAAAGCAATTCTCACTCCACTTTGGTTTGGACTTTGCTCATATAACATCATTCAAAATAAATGTAATAATTTGTACAAAAATTATTTACAAAAAGAAAAAGAGAGAAAATACCAGACTGCAGTATTTTTAACAGTGTATGGCGGCCTCCTTTTGGTATTTCTACATAGGCTCTTCTTGATATATAGTTGATACAATAATTAATGTACAAAGATGTTAGGAGCACGACCTAATTAATCTGAAATTAGTTTTAAACAAGTTCCCGAGAAGGAAGCCTGCAGTTCTTGTCTCCTTGGGAGGTTTGGGGGAGAAGCTCCTCCAGCTCTGCTTCACCTGCAGTATGGTTTGTCCAATCTGTCTGCAGATGGAGTCGATGGCCTTGGGATCAACTGGGTCACCAGATGCATCTGTAACATAGAATGTATCTTTTGCTTTTCCACCCTTTGTTGAGATCTTTGCTCTTTTGATGTACAAACTATTCTCCCTGAATATCCTGGTAATATCTGACAGAAGTCCAACTCTGTCTTCTGTGCACAGTTCTAGCTCCACTCCCTGCAATGCAATACCAGTAAAATAGATTTTAAGAGATTGTGTAAGGGTGTCTTAACTTTTTCAGGTTTCTTTTGTCCATTAGTGATATATGTCAAACCTCTGAACTGCGCCTCTCAATCGCTGCTTCAAGACACTGTCTCAGACGTTGTTGCTCAGCTTCTGACCTTATAGGGAACCCATCAACATGTCGGATATAGTATTCCTACAACCAAACATGAAATAAATACCTTTATATGATAGCATAAGCTCAAATGCTTATGTCAAAGGTTGGGAAACTAAGCAAGTTCAGCAAATTAAGCCTAAAAATTTGTCATTAGCTTTTTTCCCTCAGTAATGGAATGCTTTTCAACCAAAAAACACTGTCATTAGTTGGATATATTTTCCTAGTTCTCGCATGAGTTTAGTGACCTTAGTCATGTATGAATACATTTACTACTGAACTTGATCATATATACCTGATAAGCTTCCATCCTTGCTGTGTTCACCGTTCCATGAAACACCACATATTGCATGTCTGTTAGAGTGCATATGGTGTCAAACAAGAGCTTTGGCCTGTCTTTAGACCTCATAGTAATCACAGTGTAGTCCTTCTCAATACAGTCCAATACAGTAACATCAGGTCTTGAACTCCAATCCTTGGCTCTGGTCATCCCTTTTCCTTCAACCCTTTCATAGTCTCTGTCAGCAAACATCATCTGGTGTAACCTTCTCTCTGTGTGAATCAATCCGGGGGGTGAAAGTGCCATTTTTGCTGTTCTCAGGCCATTGTTTCCTTTGAGTAAATAGCACAAAAGTTGCTTGATTTTGGATAGTCGCTCAGAATCTTCTTCAATTGGAGACCCTGTCGACTCATCAGTCACATGAACCACAGCTGCTGCTCTTTCATTGTGCGTCCAGATCTCAGCATTCACAACGTTACATCTGAGATCTGTGAGCACTGCACATAGTTCGGACAGTAAACCAGGTCTTTCAGTACCCATTAGTTCAATTGAGGTATGCTCTTTAGACGAGGGCATCACTCCAACAGAGTCTCTCAATGAAGGTAAGAAGCAGGCATCAGTTTCAAGAGTCTGCAACATGAGCAATAACATATATAAATGCGTTAGGGAGTTAACGATTTCAGTTCATTCTCAGAAATACTACAAAAATTTCATTCTCATTTCCAAATGTTTTTAATTAGAGGGAGCAGAGAAAGATTCAAACGTGCATGCAAACCTAAAGGTGGTATCTGGAGGCAAAGACGAAGATCAGCTGCTGTAAACAAGTACTTACCTTCTGTATGTAGTTGAGGATTCGTTCATCTCTGATTTTGTTGCCACCATAATCAGTCACGTTGAACACTGAAACATCAAATTTCTAAGTGAGAAGAGAAGATGTGGGATAAAAAGAAGAAGCACCGAGTTCTGTCAAATATGATTTGGATAGACAGAGGAGTAAAAATACCATCCATGAACCATCCCCCGTCAGAAGACATATACGCTTTTGTTATAATGAGGTTGAGATCTGTAAGAGCTTGGACAACATCCAGGAGAACTCCATGCTTGTTCACACTGTCAACCTAAATATGAAAACAGAAGTAAGCAATAATTTCTAAAGATAATTGCTTCACGGAGGCAAGGTAAAATAAAACCACCACAAAATTCAGCATGTCTGTAATGCACATTGAGGGGGAATAAAGTGGAGAGATTACAAGCTAACCTTAATTACAGTAGCATGCTCACATGCATCATTGTCAATCACAACTCTGCGTACAAAAACAGGGAAATTAGCCAAGGAAATCGTCCCTACGCCCACTACAAAAATTCAAAAAACAGTAAAGTACGCATCCAAAGAAAAAATAAGAACAGAGTGGATCCCTTCTAATTCTTGAAATATGGTAGTTTCTTTACGTGTCAGAGGGTGGTTCTAGGATTGCAAAATTAAATAGGAAAATGTGAGTCTTTAGAAAAGAAACAGGGGAAAAGATTTAGTTGTCAATCGTGTGCAGAGTTCTGCAGGAAATCATGCTTCATATCAAACATAATTTTCAACAGAAAAGCAAAAAACAAAAATTGGCTTACTTCCACCTTGTAAGTAGGTTACAGAAAACTATCAGAAGGGCTAAAGACCAAATGGCTGGTTTTACAAAGAGACAGATCCTTTGCACTAGTTTCTGCATAAGTTGCAACCATATCTCCTGTAGCTACTTAAAAATTAAACCAAAATCCACACCGATACCGTGAAAACCCAGACTGAAAAAAAGAGGAGAAATTCGAGTTGAAAAAGGAAGTAAGAGGGCCAATACCTTGGGGGGTTCATCCGCCTGATAAACTTGGCATACTCATCATCCATTTCTTAATTTCTCAGATTAGCAGGCAACCCAATATAATTAAAGCCCCAAAATAAGAAATATTGTTCCCCAGAGAGAATTTGAGGATGTCTCCCAAGTCCTAACACTGAGGAAGTAAGAACAGAATAGCTGTTATAAATTATAAGATGAGATAAGACGAGAGAGAGAGAGAGAGAGAGAGAGAGAGTATATAAATAACAAAGAAGATCAGATTTAAAAATAAAAGCTGGAGGTGAAAATGTTTAGTGTGTCAACGACTCAATCTCTCTCTCTCAACAAAGTCGTCACGTAGCGCGACAATTGAAGAATTCAAATGGCACGAAGAGAATTGGGAAGTGAGGTAGAAAGGCCACCTTTGGCGTAGGATTCGGTTGGAGGACATTTGTCATTCCCTTTTGGTTTCCAGCCCAGCCCCACATTAATTAAATTTGCAAAATATAATTTATAATAAATACTAAAAATACACACGTGTAAATGCAAATGCGTGTGCCATAAACATATATATATATATATATATATATATATATATATATATATATATATATATATATATATTAAGAGCCATAACTGTTTGCATGAAAATACAGAACAAGGTTATTATTACAAATCTATAAAGTAGAACGGAGAACCTAAACACCATAATACTGGTGACCACACTGACCAAGGCCATCATTTATTTATAGTTACTACTTTTTTAGCCGATGAACATTGAGCAACCAATTCATGTTTACCAAAAAAGAATCAAAAAAAAAAAGAAAATACAAGTAGCTAAAACGAAATAACATATACATTCCGAAATTGTTTTTGGTATTTGGTTATATGTTTTTCAAAAAATAATTTTCTCCATTAACTGTTCATTCTTACAACCATTCTGAAATTAAACCATGCGCGCATTCTTAATATGCAAAAAAAAAAAAAAGGAAATTGTTACAAGGAAGTATGTGGCACAGTCCGGTTGGTCTTGTTTGAATTCCTAAAAGATTTTTCATAATATATAGGCCATCCAAAATCCTACCTGGTAGAGGTGATGATAATAAAATATTAACTCATAATGATGAATACTTAATTAGGCCATCGAATTTTGTTAGATCACTTTATTTAATTTCCAAAACTTTAATGAATAATAATGTAGTAACTTTATAACTATATTGAATTAATAGAAATAGAAATAGGAGAATCTCAAGTCTTAAAGGCTAAACGTGGGATTATTAGCTAGGGTTTCAAATATTGACTAGAGCCGACGTGTTTATTTTGTTTTATTCTCTCTTTTCATTTTATTTTTTCAGTTGGATGCATCTTTGATAACTGCAATAAAGATAGAAAAATAAAAAACGTGGGACACTGTAGAACAAAGACAAAAACCCAAATAATCCAAACCTCTTTCATCTGCTTGGTAATTTCGTCCCTACCCTGTACCCTGCTCATAAAAGCAATGTCATGACGTCCAAATTCTTTTCCTGGAAAGTGCAACAATCGAAGTTGTCCAAAACAGAAAGATGTTTTATCCACACTCTGGAGAGTTGTGCAGTACACAACAACAATGGTTGCCTTCGTATGTGCATGCAAGAGTGAAAAAAAAACAAAAAAAAANAGTAATTTGTAAATAAATTTATATAAATCATTTGTCTTAGTTTAAAATAATTCCACTTAAAATTAATTTGGAGAAAAACATGAACTCGATACTTAATTAACTAATAATGTAAAGAAAACTACAATTAGTGGTTCATATGAAATATATGAACATTATTTATCATTTCTTGGAGATGAGTTCCAAATGTAAGGATTATTAAATAAAAATGGACATTTGTAAATGTGATTAGATGATCTCAAATATTTATTTTAATCAATTAACAATGGAAAATATTGGTTAAGAAAGAAAATTAAAACCAAATTGGTAATCACTCGATGGCATAGAACCACAAGCTCTCCCATGCTATGATGGCCAGTGGGTCTCATGTGCACCCTACTTTGTCTCTTCCCCAATTTAATTTATATATATTATAAATCATATATATATATATATATATATATATATATATATATATAATCGTTGATACAGATCTCTATTAAGAGCCATAACTGTTTGCATGAAAATACAGAACAAGGTTATTATTACAAATCTATAAAGTAGAACGGAGAACCTAAACACCATAATACTGGTGACCACACTGACCAAGGCCATCATTTATTTATAGTTACTACTTTTTTAGCCGATGAACATTGAGCAACCAATTCATGTTTACCAAAAAAGAATCAAAAAAAAAAAGAAAATACAAGTAGCTAAAACGAAATAACATATACATTCCGAAATTGTTTTTGGTATTTGGTTATATGTTTTTCAAAAAATAATTTTCTCCATTAACTGTTCATTCTTACAACCATTCTGAAATTAAACCATGCGCGCATTCTTAATATGCAAAAAAAAAAAAAAGGAAATTGTTACAAGGAAGTATGTGGCACAGTCCGGTTGGTCTTGTTTGAATTCCTAAAAGATTTTTCATAATATATAGGCCATCCAAAATCCTACCTGGTAGAGGTGATGATAATAAAATATTAACTCATAATGATGAATACTTAATTAGGCCATCGAATTTTGTTAGATCACTTTATTTAATTTCCAAAACTTTAATGAATAATAATGTAGTAACTTTATAACTATATTGAATTAATAGAAATAGAAATAGGAGAATCTCAAGTCTTAAAGGCTAAACGTGGGATTATTAGCTAGGGTTTCAAATATTGACTAGAGCCGACGTGTTTATTTTGTTTTATTCTCTCTTTTCATTTTATTTTTTCAGTTGGATGCATCTTTGATAACTGCAATAAAGATAGAAAAATAAAAAACGTGGGACACTGTAGAACAAAGACAAAAACCCAAATAATCCAAACCTCTTTCATCTGCTTGGTAATTTCGTCCCTACCCTGTACCCTGCTCATAAAAGCAATGTCATGACGTCCAAATTCTTTTCCTGGAAAGTGCAACAATCGAAGTTGTCCAAAACAGAAAGATGTTTTATCCACACTCTGGAGAGTTGTGCAGTACACAACAACAATGGTTGCCTTCGTATGTGCATGCAAGAGTGAAAAAAAAACAAAAAAAAAACCAAAACCAGCTCCTTCTTTGTTCTTTCTCATTTCTTCTTCTTCTTTTTATTGGATGTATTCAGCTTCAACATTACACTTGTGTAATTTTGTAAAGCTAGTGCGTTGGCTATGAAACTTCTGCATATACCTACTACAGTAGGGAATTCTTTAATTTGATGCAACACAGAGTCCCTTTGGATTTTAGAGCAATTTCCATAGAGTGGGAATCACAGCGAATCCCTTCATGGGGTGTTTCTATCATTATTGTTGGCTCAAAGTTTATAATTAAATTCTTAATGACTTATATATTGAATTTTGATCCAAAGATGAATCAATTCCTAAATTTCCATAGTTGGAGCAATCCCGTTTATAACATCTTATAAGCATAACGTTCGTCTTAATTATAGATGAAGCAATGTATAAGAGATTCAATAAGTTCAAATAAAAAAGGGTATCAATTAAAGATAGTACGGTGGGATATTGGAAAAGAAAGGGATTTTAAATAGGTATATAGACCTAATTAATGCTATATATATGTATATGTATGTATGTATGTATGAGGGTGTAATGACTAATGTTAGATACTTGTGGGAGAGACATCAAATTTTATAGTTGTAATGGGTCTTCACCAAGTCCTATGGTGCATGTTGTTTGTTGATGATCATGTTTTAATTGATGAAACTACTGAAAGATTAAATGCACAATTTGGCYTATAGACAAATGCCTTAGAAGCAAGAAGTTTTAAAATAAGTAGGATTAAAATAGAATATATGATACGTGAATTTAATAATGATAAGAGTGTTAATTAGGTAACACTTGGTGCCTTCATAAAACAAGGTATATTTAAAATTAGAAACCAATATATAACTCAATGCAACATTTCCAGTACCTTGATTAAATGATTCATAACAGGGAGGATGTCTGCCATATAATTAGAGCAAGATAAGCAAAATAGAAGGGAGAATTAGGAGTTTTGTGATAGGTGAGTACCGCATGGAAAATTTTATAAAATAGTTATTAAACCAGCTATATATGTGTGTGTGTGTGTTAGGTAGTTAAGAAACAATTTGACAAAAAAAATGAGTGTGGTAGAAATAAATATACTGAAATGAATGAGTGGAAAACTAGAAAAAATATGATTAGAAATGAATTCATTTGAAGGAACTTAGGAATAGCTTCAATGGGCGATGAAATGAGAAAAAGACCAAGATGGTCTATTCATGTGTATATAAGATCAGCAAACAGCATCCATAAGGAGTGATTTTTTTCTTTCTTTTTACAAGTTAAAGGGACTAGAAGGGCAAAGGCTAGAGGTAGACCAAAAATAAGATGGGTATAAGTAGTAAAAAAATCATTTAAGTTATAATAATTTACCAATGTATATAGCATTAAATAGAATGAAATAGCCAAACGTGATTCATGTGGCCAACCCTATATGATTGGGATTAAGCCTTAATGATGATCCGGAGATTAACGCAATACATTGGGGTTTATATTAATGAAACCCTCATCAAATCATTTGAGACTAGATGTCTTTAAGAGTAAAACTCCCTCGATGTGAACGTGTCTTACATCACTGGTCTCAAGCCCGAATAAAGGAGAAAGATTACTTCAAAGTTAGCAAAGTGCACTAAATATTTTACCAAACTCTCATGTATATGAATCCTGATAATGATGATGTTTTTAATAGTAATTATCTTCGCTTTGACCTGTCATTCCAAGAATTGTACCAAAGTTAAAAGAGAGCATGTGCTATGAACAAAATAAAAATAAAGGAACATTCATCATTAACACTCGTCCAACTTTTCCTACAAGGGTAGAGACCAACTCACTCGATGGTCCAGTTCCACCATCAAGTTATTACTCACCGTGGTCTTCATCTACAATTCCACATAACTCTTTAAGGTGAATAGAAGCATCATTCTATTGGATAAACCCATTATCATCCCATTTCCTTCATCATGATTCATGACAAGACATGTATATTTTTTCTTCTTTGTAGTGAGAGAATTCCCCCTGGTTTGGGCAGCAATGTTATTAATTGAGGATGTTGTCTGTCACTTTTAGGGGTGATTATTTCAGTCCGGCCTGGTTTGGGCCTGGGCCCATATTATTTTCATAAATTTTAAGGCTAGGTTATAATGCATCTGAACTAGCTTGGCCAGAAGTTATTTTTTTTTAGGAAAAAATTTCAATTAGTATCCAATATTTTAGGTTTAGTGTCATTTTGGTCATCAAACTTTAAAACATGATAATTTAGTACCCATACTTTCAAAATGTGTTAATCCAGTACATGCCGTTAATCAATCCTTTAACCAACTGTTGTGTGGCATTTGAAAAGACGCAAACACCATTCAAATGTCAATCACATCTTTCCGGTATCATCAATTTACTCTCGAGTCTCGACTATCATGTCGGAATATTACCCCGATTGTTGTCTTTTTAGAGTTATTTTTGAATATTACTGCACGGGTATGGCTGTTGATTTAAAGTCCAAGTTGTGTTCTCTTCTCTCTATATAGACTATACTTCCCTGACCAGTATTCGTTAGTACTTCCCAAGTCCCATTAATTAACGTCAAAATTACTGAGAAGACAACCTTTACATGGTTTAATAATGTCAGTGCGAAATCCACTTTATCACTTCTCATCCATCTGGGAATACAACTCTAGCTTCCATTGGGGATTGAAGAATGGATTCCTCCCTCTCACCCTAATTCTGAGTCTGAGTTACATAAAGTTAGCACTTGAAATGCCCCAAATACCCATAAATATTTCATCATTTTATTACTCAAATTGCCTATATTGAATTCCCAAGCTTGTTTGATCAAGTGTGTAAACTTGTAAATCCACCTTGACTCGCTCCTGTTATGTTAGGGTCAAGTCAATTTTTATCTGGTTTTAGGTTGGATTAAGGTTGAGGCTAACCTGCACTAAACCTGATCCATTGTTAATATAGTAGCAACAGAACATTTGTAATGTAAGTATATAAGTCAAATTAGCTGAGAATAGGAGCATCATTTGTGGAATGGATTGAGGTGATTAAGGTTAGAATGACTTCAGGTTAGGATCGATCGAATTGAGAGAGACCCATATTAAAATTAAATGTACAGCTGGGTTATTCCGTGCTCTCAGGATGTTTACGTGATGTTTGCTTTCAGTGGAGAGCTCATCCAGTCGTCATCATTCTTGATATATAATCAGTGCCAACCAGCTTAATTGGTAAGGTTTCTGGTTCTTTGTCGCAGAGGCTTGGGATCAAATACCAGGGTTGTGTGGGTTATGAGTATGGGGGACGGCTACCCCTGTTGTGTAGCCCCATGCAACCAAAAAAAAAGTTAGAACCATGCCTCAAGGAAATTAAAAGGCAAATGGAGAAAAACCAGAACAGAATGAACATTTGACTGAATAGAACATCTACGATATTCCAAGCTGAAGCTGATTGGACAACAACTTAGGCCTTAGCCAACATCAACAAGGAGTTGGAGCCTGGGGCTGGAGGGGGGAGGTTTGAGTTTGGACTTCAATTTAAATAGTTTTATTTTTGTAATATTTGTATAAAAATATTTAATGGTTAATTAGAAAACCTGCAACTGCTAGTGCTAGACTAGGTGATAGCACACCGGCCAGACCCAGCTACTCATATATTTACATCGTAAAGCAGCCACCTAAACCTAATTGACCTAACTAATTAAAGATGCTTTTCTTATGATTATGAGCATGATCTTATCAATCCCAAGTTGTATAGAATCTTCTCCGATCTTGATCGGAACAGATTACCAAGAGAAAACCTCCCGTTCTCCTGTGCAGGAGTTTTATTAGTGTACATCTCTTCTTTCACATGGAGAATCGTCTGCCCAATCTCACTCCGTACAGCCTCAATTGTTTCACTCTTTACAGGATTCCCTGATGAATCCATCACATAGAACACATTCACAGCCTGGGACCCACAGGTTGTTACTTCGGCCCGAGTGACTACAAGCCCATTCTCTCTGAATATGCGGGTTACATCAGATAGAAGCCCCACGCGGTCTTCACTACACAGTTCAAGTCTTATTCCCTGGATTGCAAAAAAAAAAAAAAAAAAAAAAAGAAAAAAAACAGAACATCAGCATCAATATTTCAATGGGGCTAAAGAAAAAAAATTTCTTCTCCATTCACCAGTATCAATACCTCTGTACTTCGCCTCTGAATAGCAGCTACCAAGCAATGGATCAACCGTTGTCTCTCTGCTTCGGAACTAATGGGACACCCATCTTTATGTCTGATATAATACTCCTATTGGCAAATGAACAATATATAGTTAAACTCAGCCAAAAAGAACACAAAGCATTCAGAGTTGGATCACTCGTTCATTTATCTATCTTGATCATAATACAGTATTATACCTCACTGCATTCTCACAGAAGAAAATTAATTAACAAACTGAACTGGAGTAGTAAGGGAATGAATTATATAGGAAACCTGACAAGCTTCGGGTCCTTCTGTATTGACAGTGGCATGGAAGACCACATACTGCATGTCTGTTAATGTGCAGACGGTATCAAAGAGAAGTTTGGGCCTGTCCTGACACCTCAAATTCACTACGGTATAACCCTTGTCTACACAATTCTCAACCATCACACATGGTTTGCTGCGATCAGTTGTGGGCACACCATCCACATAATAATCCTTGTCATAATCACGATCAGCATACATCATTTGATGCAGCCTCCTTTGGGTATGGGTGGCACCAACAGAAACAGCAGTGTTGGCAGTGCGCATATCTCTATCCCCTTTAAGCACATAAAGGAGGAGTTGTTTGATCCTGGCGAGCCGGTCCCCATCGTCAATTGATGATCCGGTGGCTTCATCGTTGATGTACACAACTGATGCCATCCTTGAATTGTGGGTCCAGATTTCAGCAGCTACCACATTGCATTTGAGGTCCATAAGAACAGCAAAGATCTCTGAAAGCAACCCAGGACGATCTCTTCCAGTCAATTCAACGGTTGTGTGTTCAGCAGCAGCCTGAACACCCACTGACCTTCTCAAGGACCGGAGGTTTTGTACTCTACTTGGTCCCAGTGACTGACATATTTGTCAAATAAATCATCATAACACGTTAACTCACACAAATTGTTGTTAAAGCATTCTATTACCAACAATTCAAGTGACAACAGAAGCTTATTATTTGTTTGTCTGTCTTGTAATTAACCATTTTCCCCTTTGTACGATACACGCCTTTTTTTTTTTTTTCAAATTAAATTGTGGGAGGATTTAATCGTTTTGAGTAAGAAGGTTTGAAAAAAAATTGAGCATGAGTGGAACCCAGTATTTGCGACCTTTCTTCTTTTCTGGGTTCAGTAAAGTAGTTTCTTGGCCAAAGAAGAAAGTGCCGATTCTGGTGTTGTTTTTATTACAAACAAATGGTGGTAGGCATGGTAGATGGTCAGGAAAGGATGGTTTAAGACCTCAAGTATGCAGAGTGAAGATCTATAACCCATTGACTTCAACTTGGAATGAATATCGCAGACACCAACTCACCCAACCTATATGAAACTCTCAAGCAATAACAAGAAGAATTTCCAATTGGGGCACCGGCCTAGTATGGTAAGGACTTAACTATGGTTGGGGCGATTCTTGGCCCCTATGCAGGCTCAGAATCAGGGGAATCCACATTGTGAAAACTGCTTCTTTTTCACTAGACTCCTAAATGAGAAAACGATACTAGTCGATTAATCACTTCTACTATTACATTGATATTCCGAACTCTCATTGTGCTATCTTTGGTTGGGAGCTTCCTTATCTAATCACACCAAACGAATACGCAGACTGATTTTACAGATTATTAATTACCTGTTGAATGCGGTCGATGACTTTCTCATCCGATAGCTTATTCCCATTTTGGTCTATAACATGGAATACTATAACAAACAGCCCACACAGTATAATTAGGTAACAGAAAAACAAGAACGCCCAATTAACAGAAAAAAAATGGAGAAAAGAAAAATCAAAAGCTTACCGTCCATAAACCATTCACCATCTGAAGATATGTATGCCCTGCTAATGGTAAGATTCAAATCAGTCAGAACCTGAACGACCTCTAACAGACTCCCATGCTTATTAGCGCTATCAACCTACAAGGAGATAAGAATAAAGGAAAACGTGAGAAAAGAGACTCCTCTTTAATTGCAGGCCGCAAAGGAAAAATAAAAAATCTAATCCAGAAAACATATCACTAGAACATCTAAGTAATAGATCTCCTCATACCTTGATCAAAGTTGCTTTACTGCTTGAAATATTATCTACAGTAACCCTGCAAATTCCACATCAACCACAAGAGAAGAAAAATACTCAATTATTAATTATTATTAGACCCATTCAACCTTTGACTTCCTCACCTCAAGAAGAGAACAGATGTACTCCCATAAGAAACCGAAAAAAAGAAGCAGCAAAATCAGAAAACAAGGGAAACAATTATAACAAAAAATCGACACCCAATTGAAAGAGCAGAATGAGTACCTCGGAGGATTCATTCGAATGACAAGCTTCTCAAATTCATCGTCAACGTCGACAGAGGAAGAACAATGATCCATTGGAAACAGAAGACGAGATCGAAAACCAAAGGAGAGCAGTGGAATGACAGAGTTTTAGTTTTCGTGTTTCTCGTGTTCTGTTTTGCTCTCTGTTTCTTTCTGTGTCTTGTGCTTTCTCACAATGAGTGGTGGTGTACTGCTGTAATATTGATGTTGGTGTAGTGTAACGGTGTAAGTGTATAACCGTGCGTGCCTCTTGAATGGGACGAAGAGTTTTGGAGGGACATAAGAAATTGTGAGAGAGAGAGAGAATAGAACTTTCCGGACTTGTGAGTGTGGGTCCCATCACAGACCACATTAAACACTCTTATTTCAATGAAGAACAATATGTTGGTGTGTCTTATTATTTTTAGGGTTTATGGGTCATATGAGGCTGTGATTTTGATTGGGTTGTGAGTGGCTTCACCTCCCTGGTTGGTACCTGCACTTCCTCACCTTCCCAAGTTCCCATTCTGCTTTCGCTTCTATTTATTAATCAGTTCCACAACGTTAAATGGGCTGTTGAGTTGGTAATTAAAGAGGGGAGGTTGTGTCTTATCATTTTTAGGGTGTGACTTATTATTTTTATTAATTAGTTTCAAATTTAGTAAGGGTCTGCTTGGTTTGCAATTAGAATGGAAATCAAAATCTAACAAAATCGGAATCAGAATGGTCTATTCTTCTTACCAATTTGATTCAGATGGGAACTGCAATTGGAATTAGATAAAATGGATTCTCATTCTCAATAGAGGAGATTCCCTCAAAAAGGGAAGAATGCCATGGAACCAAAATGGGATTCTGATTCTTATTCAAAACCCCTATTCCCATGAACCAAATGGACTGTAAAATTAACTTTTACTTGCTCAATGGATCTACTTGTCTTTCTTTGACCTCCCCAAGTGACCCAAATCAAATCATAATTCATGAACCTGTGCTATCTCCTACTTTGATTCCTTCTTAATTGTGAAGGAGAATTGCCTCCCTAGCTATCCTCCGCTTTCACATTAACCCTACTTTCCATGATTGAATAATAGCCCACCTCATAAGTAGTTTGTATTGCTGGTCATCGTTTCAGGGGTCTCATTTTTTTACTCAATCACCTATAGGCTATAGGTTCTTGTCTTCTTGATAGAATTGTGAAAGGGTGAGTTAGGGATCCATGAGGATGTGATTCCATTAACCACTTAACTCGATTCTTGAAGGGAAGAGACATGTCAGTTGAAACTTGAAACTGCTACTGCACTTGGGATTATACTGTTGCTTGGCTTTAATTTGCACTTTGTGGTCACGAATATTTCCTGACAGGAGAAATGTTTCAAAGTGTTAAATAATGTCAGCTCCAAACCCATCCTTGTCTTGATATAAATGAGCGGAAGATGATCCACAATTCCACATCCATCCCATGATGCGCTTATTCACTGTCAATTAAATAAATCATTATATTCTACAAATTAACTTATAAAGTATATATATATAACAATAAAGTAAATGAAATATTAACACTCAATTCGGAAAGAGTATAAATGCAATTATGTACGGTGTAAATACATACAAAATATAAGGTTTTTTGCACTCTATATATTTGTATTTGTATTCCTTTCAAACCGAGCCTAAGGCTGTGTTTGCTTGCAATGCAAATAAATTTGCACTGATGTAAAATTGTAGTAGTGAAAATGATTTGAGTATAAATTTTGACCTATTTTAGTTTTAAATTTTAGCTTATTTTGTTTGATTGCATTATAAATGAAGTAGATTAAGACATGTAGCAGAATAAAGTAAAACCCAAAACAAAATTAAATGGGAATTTGCATTCCCATGCATTTGTATTAATGCAAATAAAATTGCACTGCAATCAAACACAGCCTAAAGAAAAAAATAAAAGTGTAATGGTGGATGAGAGATACACTTGCATGGGCATATGCATGTGATCCATTTTTTTTGCTTCACCCAGGAATATTAATTTTTCTACTGCTCATTGTACCAACTGGCTTAATTGTATTATGCATCTACTTACTATTTTCCCTAAAAAAACTACTTTTCTAAAAACTCTTAGTTGGTATGCAATTGCACTATATTACATCTGGTTTGCATGAAATGAAAAATCATTTAAACATATTACTATTTCTAATCATTGGATTTTACACAAAACTGATATTATATAGTATTCCACTTTTACCCACTCTTTAAGAACCCATGTCGAATCATCTCCCACCTTAACTCTGTCTGTGCAACCATATATAGATGGAATCCTTTTTACAGATGCGGGGAAGATTTCTTCTAATGAATTTTGCTTTGGTACCATCCTCCTCAATCGGCATTTGGACTGTATTCAAATATCAGGAGGTCGAAAATCTTTAAATTCAGTTGAAGCTACGGAACTTTTTACTATATATCAAGGCCTCATCCAAGCACAACGGTTCAGTAAACGGAACATTTTGGTTTACTCACATTCTCAGGCATTTATTCAAGCTTTACAAAGAAAGACATCTCTTCATTGGTCACTGTTGCATCTTCTTCAGCGAACTATCAACCTACTTCAAGAATTTCAATCAGTCGCTTGTATTCACATTAGCAGAAAATATAATCCTACAGCCTATCAGATTGCATGTAGAAGCAAAACTACCATATAGGAATATTTTTTGCTAGATACTTATCCTTCTGATGTATCTGATTTCTCAGAACTATGTTTTTGTATCTTTTGCTTAATATATTAATTTTTACCTTTCAAAAAAAATGGTGATTAATTAAATTCAAGAGAAGTGGTGAGGCACAATGCATGCACTATTTGTAATTGTAATTTTGTATTAGATCAAGGTTTTTAAAATCAAAGCGGACAATTAATCTGTCAGGGTCTGGTTTTTGGGTCAAACAATTTGATTGTTTGAATCGAATGAATGGCCCATTTTAATAAATATAAAATAAAAAACGATCAAAATTATTGAAAGGTTCAAATGGTTTGATCGCCCAAATTAACAATTTGCTGATTAAATCACCGGTTTTTGACAAAATAAGGGTTTTGGGGTATGCCAAGAATGGTTGATGTGGCAAAGTCATAGCCAAAGAATTGAACGGGGGGCGAATGATCTTTCAAACTTGCCCGTGGATGCGTACGTACGTACGTACGGTAAAACCAGAAACTGCTATACCTATACCCCGCAGCTTAGCTTGTAATGTACCCGCAAGAAACTACTTACAGAACCCAACTGCTTCACAATATTCCACTCGTATTTCAAGAATAGGGTTTGCTTTGCTTTCAATGTGCTAAGCTGTCTATACTCTAACCACTTGATGTATATCTGATGGGATGGTTTAACATACTGGGGAATCTTCAGTGAGCTCCCCCTCATAAATGGGAAGGGATAAGTGGACTGCAATACACTTCAAAAATCTGAATTACAACCCCCTCCTAATCTATTAGTAGCCCCTCTATAAATCGTATCATTTTCATGAATTTTGCATCAATCCACGGACATGATTCAATCCATTTTTAGAAATCTTAGCTACACTCAAGGGGTGGATTGAATTATAAAAATCCCAGGAAATTCAATTGAGGATGTATGGAAATTGAAACCCATGCCACCCCCGCCCAACAAATTCGAAATTTGTTTCGGCTCCTCCCTTCTATGTCAGCATAACTTTAGTGTTATACTCATTATACCCCTCTACGAAACGTTAAATGTTAATCGTCTTCTTCCCCTTTTCGAACCTACAACATTTCGAAACTACAACATCTTCTCCATTTTTTCAGAGCCGTTAATCACTGGATTACTAGAGCTAATTTCTTAGAGTTGTTTCATCGCCAGAGCTTCATCTCTCACCATCGGCCACGGACAGCACTCAACGTTCACCATTCGGAGGAAGCTGGAGCGTCGGTTTACTATTCACCATCCGTTGGAGGCACCCTGCGTTGACCGTTGAAAGGACGCTCGAAGATGGTTTTAGCGTCTGTTGGAATGTTTCTCAAGCCCCTCCATTCAACCGTCGTGGAGGTGGTTCCCCTGTGTTTCTGGTACACCACCTGTGTTTCCAATTCATTCTGATGGTTTAGCATTCCGTTGGCCACCCGTGCATTTGTTGACACTGCTCGACCACAGGCAATTTACTTTGTTACATTTTTTTTCCTTGGTTGATTGCCATAAGGACCTCTGTAAATGAATATTTGAATGTTGCTTAGTTCAGTGCTAATGAAAATGAAGTGTTTAATGTTGATTAAGATATGGATGTCGTTACCGTGGGTTATTGAACATTTGTAGGTATGAATAGCCAACAAAGTGTCGGGAATCAATCTCCGAGTAGTTTGCAGTATGATACTAATGCAGGACAGGAGAAGGCCGATAAGTTCTATGCAAGTTGGGACCATTCCAAGACACATAAGAAGCAAAAATGATGCCACTGGCCCATCTTAGTAAATATTACCGATATAACACCATCACAGGAATTCTATCTTAGTACGTTTTTACCAAGTTGGCACCATCAAAGAGTTTCCATCTTAGTTCATTTTTAACAAGATAACATTATTTCGAATTTATATTCAACTAGGACTTTCCTTGTGAAGGAATTTAGTAGGATTCTATTTTGGAGTGTTTTCTTAGATTATGATTTTCTTTTTTTAAGGAGCTTTAGTAGGATTCTATTATGGAGTATTTTTCATATTAGGAATAGGAGACATAAGGGTGTATGCCTATATAAAGAGTAACTAGGGGAAGGCTAAGGCAGTTTTCTTGTTATTAATTTTCTCTTAATTGTTTAGTGAAGAATTCTTCTTCCTAAAATATGACTTCTGCTCTTTTCTTTGAATCTTTTTCTCACGTGTTTAATGTTAATTAAGATATGGATGCAGTTACCGTGGGTTACTGAACATTTGTAGGTATGAATAGCCAACGAAGTGTCGTGAATCAATCTCTGAGTAGTTTGTAGTATGATACTAAGTATTGCTATTGCAAACGGAGATGCATCCTTCGAATTTCAATAACTTGGAATAACCCACAGAAGTTGTTTTATAGCTATTAATTAAAATATGAGGTAATATTTTTAGTGGGACGATATTATTTGTTAGCATTGATATAAGGCATGTATATTGCTAGTGACATGTGTTGCACTTGCAAGAGCAGGTGCTGGATAGCCAAACGACTGAAAGCGATTCTATTGGATGTTGCAAATTTTTTGAGTGGGCGATTCCTCAAGGTTGGTTGGATGAGGTTACATCGGGAAATAGTCATGGTGATGTTCTGGAACGCCTTGGAAATGTGGAAAGAGAAGTCGATGTTTGCATAAGGCAGATTGAGTCCATGAAATCAGTCCATGAGTTAGCTACTGAGGGGATGGCTACAGTTAGGCGACTTATTTTTCTTCTTTTTGTTATTATTCTATTTACACTGGTCTTATGGAAATAGTTTATCATTATTGGTGAATACATAGGTTTAGTGTTTTTACGATTATGTTAAAAGACTCCCCCCTCTCGTTTTCATGTTGGTGAACTATTTTGGTGTCTTATTGTAGTTATGTTGAACTTTTAAATATAAGTATATAAACATAAATTGCTTAGAAGATATTTTTTTGTTGACTAAGAAATATTTGTAAATTCATCGAAGATACCTTCCGGTAGGAGGCAGAGAATCCTAGGCTCTAAAGCGGTCCCAGAGGGGGGGCGTGGGGGTAGACGGGTGGCGGAACCACCTCCACAAGGTGGAGAGAGGTCTCCTAGAAGTTCCCAGAGGAGGCGAAGATGCCTTGGGTCAACGGGGAAGGTCGATAGTGGGAAATTATGCTTTTGTAGAACCACCATTTCCCATCATCGACCTGGGTCGTCGAGCTAATGGGCGACCGGAAGGTGTTAGGATGCTCGATGGGTGAGTGGAAATTGGAGGGAGTGGGTTTGGTGGCCAACGAACCCTTCTGCACTTGCCGTAGCGGCCTCTGGGTGATTCTGCCATTTCCGAGAAGCGGTCCTAGAGGGGGGGCATGGGGGTAGATGGGCGGCGGAACCACCTCCACGGGGTGGGGAGAGGTCTCCTGGACGTTCCCAAAGGAGGTGGAGATGCCCTGGGTCAACGGGTAAGGCCAATGGTGGGAAACAATGCTTTTGTAAAACCACCGTTTCCCATCGTCGGCCCATGCTGTCAGGCCGATGGGCGACCGGAAGGTGCCAAGATGCTTGGTGGGTGAGTGGCAATTGGAGGGAGTGCGTTTGGTGGCCATTGAAGCCCTCCACACCCGCTAGAGCGGCCTTTGGGTGATTCTGCCATTTTCGAGAAGCGGTTCCAGAGGGGAGGGCACGAGGTTTAACAGGCGGCGGAACCACCTCCACGGGGTGGGGAGAGGTCTCCTAGACATCTCCAGAGGAGGAGGAGACGCCCTTGGCCAACGGGGTGTTACACAATGTATGCCCTTAGCTCCAATCAGATTGATGTACATTATGTCATGAATAAAGTGCATAATTGATTCATGTGATTTTGTGTGTTTCTGTGTAATACCCTTAAACTGGACACTAATGAGACTCGTGTTAGTTTAGAATCTTCACAACTGTTGGATACATGCAGTGTGGGTTTTCTTGAAATCCTAAACTGGACCAAATTTCAGTATTGCCCTAAACCTTAGAGATAGATGGGCAAAACTGGAATGTTACACCTGACCCCTAGACTCGATTATGGTACTGCACTAGGTGTTGGATTGAACTGTCTTTGATATGCCAATCAGTGAGATCCTTAGAGAGGGTTAAAACTTGGGTATGTTGGGACAGTCCGAGAATTCACCTGAGTGGGTGATCATAGTGACAGGATCAACCCCTTTGTCTGACAAAGTAAATGATCAGGGAATGCACTCTCTCTGATGGAAACCTAAACTGCTGGTAGTGGATTTCAAATATGTTTCAAATTTGGTTTTGCAAAATATATTTATATAAAGATGTACTTATATATTATGGTTTCAAATTGTTTGCAAAAGGTTCTAATTCCTAGGATCCATGTGAGGAGAGAGTGCAACACTGTACCTTGTAGCCGAGGGAGATGTCCTCTCTTGTTGGGCAGTGTTTGATCATTAAGGGCTGAGAGGTTAAGTGTAAGACCATTGAGGGTAATATCTGATGGGCTAATCTTGCATATGCCCACAGTTCTTGGGTTTTCATAAGGTAGTTGGATCCAAGAACCATTTAGTGTAAATGTTGGGCCCATTAAGAGACCATGGTGATGGACTCAAGGGTTCACTGTCTCTTATAGTGAATTTGGCTAAGCCTTGTAACAGAGACAGAGCTGAACCCATGTAGCTGATGTGTAGATCAATGTTAGGGTCCCACGCCATACAAAGAGAGTCAAATTGACAGCAGATTAAAGAGTAAGTGAGCACATAAGCTTAATGGGCCTAAGGCCCAATTCGAACTGGGCTTAAGTTAGTTAATTAAAAGGGGGCAAATTCAATTTTAAATTGATTAGGATTAACTAAAGGATAAGATAAGTCTTATCCATTTAAGAGTCCAGATCCAAATATAAGATTTGGATTAGGAAACTCTCTCCTAATTAGATTAGGAGGATGATCCAATAAGGCTATAAATAGGGGGTGAATTCCTCAAATTTTCACAACAACAAATTGCAGAATTCTTCCCCAGTTCTTGCCGCCCCTACCCAGTTCGATCTCCACTTGTGGATTTGATCAAGAAAGACTCTCGATATTGTTTCTTGGTAGAAGAAGTAATTTGAAGTCGTGCTCACCAGCCCTTGCTCCATTTTTGCTGAAGAATTCAGGTTCTTGCTGAAGAACCATCCTACTGATCCTTCTTCACTACACACTATGTTATCTTTAGTGGAAGCGGGTTTTGGTATTCTCTTTGGGCGTAAACACCTGTTTTGGGAGTTACTGTTACTTCTTATCAGATATATCCCTCACTCTCTTTTGATTTCAGATATGGTTTGGTTTTGGATTCAAGAACGGACCTTGAAAATGCAGTTTTCTAAATTTGGAAATTTTTGAAATTTCGCCCAACCTTCCTATAGGGTTCAGCTATCCATATGATGGATCTCCCATCCCTTCACAAGGAAGGCCGGTAGTGGAAAACAGTGCTTTTGCAAAACCACCGTTTCCCACCGTTGGCCTGGGCCGTCGGGCCGATGGGCGACCGGAAGGTGTCAGGATGCTCGGTGGGTGAGTGGTAGTAGTAGGGAGTGGGTTTGGTGGCCATCGAACCCCTTCGCACCCACCGGAGTGGCCTTTGGGTGATTTTTTCATTTCCGAGAAGCGGTCCTAGAGGGGGTGTGGGGGTAGACGGGCGGCAGAACCACCTCAACGGGGTGGGAAGAGGTTTCCTGGACGTTCCCAGAAGAGGCAGAGACTCCCTGGGCCAACGGGGAAGGCCAACGGTGGGGAGCAGTGCTTTTGTAGAACCACCGTTTCCTACCGTCGGGTCGGTGGGTGAGTGGGAGTTGGAAGGAGAGGGTTTGGTGGCCATCGAACCCCTTCGTGCACCCACTGGAATGACTTCCAGGTAATTCTTCCATTTCTGAAAAAGGTCGCAGAGGGGCGCGAGGTTAGACTATTTTGGTTTTGTTTTTGTATATTCATGTAAATATCTTATAGCATTTTGATGTATACATCAAAATAACTACCATTTTTTACAAATTATGTAAATTCTTAAAGTCTTTTGGATGCACATAAAAACAAACTTCACAGCCTAGATGTAAATATCTTATATCATTTTAAAACCTTTTCTTTTTGGTCTTCATCGTTCCCCTCTTGTTAATGATATCCTCTTTATTGCAAGACATTAAACTATTATGTCTAGGAAGAATTCGTAGTTGTTGTTGGTGTTCTTGTGTAGCAAATCAGGTTCGGAATAAGGTTGTTAAGTTGAGAAGCAAGAAAGCTTCCAACTTATACATGATGTTTCAAACTACTATAAAAGCAATTTCTCTACCTTGGCAAAAGGAATGAAATTCTAGATGAAACTCACAACGTAGTAGATTCTCATATCAGCATCTATGATGCCAAAGTTATGCTTTCACAGGTAAATGATTCTACATCTCCGTTTGACTAAGTAATTCTTCTCAACTATGATTAGTTAGTCAAACCACCTTTTTATGCCAAGTAATTAATTTTAGTATCAATTCTATAATGTCTTTATGAATATTGAGTTCACTTTGAATGAAGAAATATGGAAATGCTAACACTTAAATGAAAAGATCACTACCAAAAATTATCATTTTCATTCTAATTAGGATCAATCTTTGGATTTTAATTTTTGACTAACATGAAACATTATGATTGGTTTGTAAGGTTTGCAAACTCAATAGTGGCATGAAGAGGAAGAATGCCTGTTTTGCAACAACCAGACAAACATTTAGAGAGAAATAATGAAAAATCAAATGAAGATATTTCCACTATGAACAATTTCATCTGTTCAGTCCTTGGGGAAACACATCATCGTTTGCCCTCCTAGCCAAGCAAATATCCAAGTTATGAGCAATATTATAATATAAATTTCATCTAGTACAGAACATATGGTAATAACACATTTAGAGTTTGAGTTGAAACAAACACATTGCACATATGTTACATGCATAACAATAGTAAGGGTAGTCCAATGCAGACCACCCACTTTCCATTTTTCTTTATTTTTCTTTTTTCCTAACTTTATCCACTATAAAGCCAATATACATAGCTGAGAGAGACTTAAGGCCCAAGTTGTGATCATCATAAAGAAATAGATGAAGCACGAAGACCTAACTGTACACATTTGCAAGATTTACCATAAATCATCAATTGCCACTGATGTAGAAGGATAAGGATCATCACCTTCTTCCTTCATCTCAGCCTCTTCTTCTTCGGACCCAAATTCAGCTAATTCAATATTAGCTAGGTTCTTCAGGTCAACCACAAAGAGTTCATCAAGGTACCTCACAACCAAGTTTGCAGCTCGAAGTTCATACAAGGGATGTTTGCTTGCAACAACTACACACTTCATACAAGCATCATGTGCAGCCTCCACTTTCGAGTTGGAATTTCCAAACACGATGCACTGCTCTGGTATGAAGTTGAGAAGCTGAGCTGCATACATGAACATTTCAGGATTAGGCTTTCCCCTATGTACATCCTCTACTGTGACAATCACATTGAAAAATTCTTCAATCCCAATAGCTCCAATTCCAAACTCAAGAGTCTTTCTTGGACCGGTAGAAACCAAAACCATCAGGATCTTGTTCATCAGAACATTCATGAATTCTTGTGAACCTATACGCAACCTATAGATCCCACCTTGCAAACACATCATCTCCTCCTTTCTCCAACTAGGATCACATTGGGACCATTCTTTAATTTGGAATGTGCTTTAATTTTGAGTTTGTATTTTCATACATGAAATGAAAGGAAGCACCCAAAGTTGTTTCATACAATTGCTCTTTCTACCTGAAACATGAAAATAACTTCCATTATAAACCCATTTCAATCCAAGTGTTTAATTTGTTGGATTTTGAAAATAATCAGAATTATTGCACTAATGGGAACAAGACTGAACCAAAATGCATGCCAGAATACTTCTCAACAGCATCATCCTTGTCCCCATCCCAGTGCTCATTTCTAACCTTTGTTTTTCTTGAATACAACTGCATTATTTGATTGATTTTAATTAGATTTTATAAATAGATTTTCTGTTTTGTTTTTTGTGTTGCTATTTTTTCTGATTAAATTAAATTAATTTTTCTGTTTTTGTTTATCAATAGATTATTGAATCATGAATAAGATTTTACGATTTAACAACATGTATTTTGATTTTTCTCCACTATAAGTCAAATTTCTTATCTTTCCTTTTTTTTATCTTGTGAAAATCTGAAAATTATGAGATTTCAAACCCTTTTCTAGAACGAGGTACCTTATAGAATTTAAAGTTTGAACCCATTTATCCTTTTTGGCATTTTTGCCTTGATATCTAATTTAATAGGACTCTGTGTGTGTGTGTGACATGTGCTTGCTATCAACTCAAAATTATGAACTCGAAAGACCCTCTTTGACCGAAGGTGTGTTTTTGTGATTTCAATCCATACTTTATTAGTCTTGTAGTTTTCAAATATTTGGTTCTAAGACATGTATTAGGACTTTGTGTTGTTGATGTTGGGATCCCATGGTCTGCTTTGGATGGTTTAGATGCTAGAAACCAAACAAAATGAACATTTTGATGATTGGCTTAGCACCACTTGTCAACATTTATTATGAAATACCAAAACATTTTTGTTTTAAATGCATTGATAGTTAAAAGGTGTGGCAACATAATTACATTGGTTAAAAAAATCATTTTCTAGAATCAAGTATGTTTCTAACCGGTTTAGAGGTGGTTTCATAATTGCTGAAATAATTGAACCAATTTTTGTTGAAACCTAAGAAGAAAGTCTACATATTTTTAAATTTGACCAAAGAAAAACTAAGAAAATTATCTCAAATTCTATTAATAAAAATGCTTAAAAAAATCAGATATGAAATTTATTTGGGCACTTCAAGACTTGTACAATTTTATGTTGGATTGAGGAATCGGTGTTTGCAAAAACCACAGCATCATCACAAGGCAACAATTGAAGATGTACCTAAGATATCTAAAGATCCCTTGTGGGGGTAGCATCAATATTGAATATATAAGACCAAAGAGTAGCATCAATATTGAATGACTAAGCAACTACATTAAGCTATCTAAATAACTTAAAAAAATATCAAAATTTATCCATTCAGCAACACAACATGGTGGAACATTAAGCTGCTTAAGTTTGTGAACTTCCAAATGTCTAAGATGCTTCCTAAATAAGGGCTTTCTGCAACATGTGTAGAGCTTCCTTAGAATCAACACTAACCTGGGTATGATACTTAATGATGGCCTGCCATCATTTTCTTGATATTCTTGGATTAAAAAATCATAAACACCTAGCCCAACTTCAAATAATAGGATGTTTATATCTTTTTCAAGCATATGGTAGCCAAAGAAAGAGCACACATACCTCATCAGCCACAGACAACTAACCTTCCAATTATTCAAATACTCTTTGATTGACTGCTTTGCAGCATTTGTTATCCTCCTAAATGAGTAGTTTCTTATAAATGAGAAGTCTTTGGAGTGCTTCCTCTATGCAAACTGCAGGATCAATAGTCTTCTATTTATCATGAGTATATTTTCATTAGTTGAACTATCTATCAAATTAAATCAATTCCATTCAAGATTTTGTTTGATTTGTAATTTAAATTGAAGATTCTTTTTGTTTATTTTTTGTTTACTACTTTCTTTTAAAGGAAATATATCACATAATTGTCACATTTTTCATTTACATAGCACCTGTTTTCATTTTTGATGCACACAACTTCATTATGATCTATACTTGGTTGTGGCATTATTCATTGGTTCAAATATCCTATGCATCGCATGGGCCATTCTACTAGTAATAATAAAAGAGGCATTTGGTAAATCTTTTGGTGGATCTATCAGGCTTTTCAATGCTCAAAACACTAAATTTTGGTTAATTTGATTTTTTCCCACAAAAAGATGTATACCCCAAAAAGCTCATGAAATCCCATAAGCCCCAAACAAATTAAAAAGTTTCAAGCATGATTTTCAAAACCAGATTGGACTGGACGATCAGACCAAAAAAAATTAGGAACCACTCACGTAACCAGTTCTATTTCACCCCAGAACCTCTTTTTGGCCCAAAACCATTGATTTGTTCAACAAACCAGTGACCCAGGTGGTCAAACCGTTGACTTGGACAAAGGTTTTTGGTCTTTTTTTTATTTTATTTTTTACGTCAGAACGGGTCATCCATTCGACCCGATAACTGGTACCCAAAATGGTTTCCTGTCTAATCCAGTTTTAAAAATATTGGTTCAAGTGAGGCTTCTTTGTCTTTCCACATTCAATTCAGCTTGTAAGATTACATGTCCCATTACATGTATAGTAACACCAACGAGGGGTGGCTCAATTGGCATGTTATTAGTGCAAATTACCAAGGCTCTGTTCGCTTTTCGATAAATTATTTATCTAGGTAACTGCATTTATCCATGTTCTTTTATTTTCTAGATAAATAAACCATTTTAGCCATAAAAATCCATTGTTAAAGGGGCATTTTTGTCCCATCAAAATATTGGCAACTTTCTCCCAGGTGGGAAAGTTATTTACCCATATAAATTTAAAAAAAAAGAACATGGATTTTTGATCCATTGACCAACTTTCTCACCTCTCAAAATCCAAAAAATGAACGCCCCCAAATACAAAAAGAAAATTATGTATAATCATATATTTACTATTTATCAAATAATAATAATAATAATAATAATAATAATAATAATAATAATAATATGCATATGAATATTTTACACACTAATGTTGCATGTGTCATAAATTGAATGAACGTGCAACGTAGCTCAGCCCCATTCATTTTCATGGTAAAAGAAATGAAAGAGATCTTAGGTGGCGTTTGATAACACTTTTCAGACCTCTGAAGTTTGAAAATGTTGATTTTCAAACACCACCTGTGTTTGGGTTGATTCTGAAAAAAGAATATGCAATGCATTTTTAGATCTGAATTTGTAAGAGGTGTACCAATGACTTAACGGGCTTAGACGTTTTTCATACCATGTTAAAAGACAAAAATGCCCATTCTTCTTTTTCTTCACTGACGGAGAACCAGTAGCGCAAGCTTCTCCCTCCGCCCTTCTCTCTCTCTCTCTCCCTCTCTTATTCTTCTCCACTGACGGTGAACCAATGGCACAAGCTTCTCTCTCCACCCCTCTCTCTCTCCCTCTCTTCTTCTTATTCTCCACTCGACGACGACCCAGCGACACAAGCTTCTCCCTCTCTCTCCCTGTCTTCCTACCACTGCCGCTACTCAATGGTGGTTCTATCTTAGCAGTAGCATTCGATCTCTCTCTCTCTCTCTCTCTCTCTCTCTCTCCATCTTCCTGCCAGCGCCGCTGCAACTGAGTTGCAGTGGCCCTGTCTTAGCAGCGGCGTTCGATTTCCCTCTCCCTCTCTCTCCCCTATCTTCCCGCCACCGCTGAGTTGCAGTGGCGCTTGATTTCCTTCTCCCTCTCTCTCTCTCCCCCATCTTCCCATCACCGCTGCTTTGCAGCGGCCCTGCCTCAGTAGCGGAATACAACCTTCTTTGTTCAGAGCCTATAAAAAGTTGAAAAGCATATGTCTCTTTTTAGATTTCAAACACTTTTAATATCTTTTTAACTTTTCAGATATCAGATTTATCAAATACCACCTTAGCCACAAATCCACAATTGAGTACATTCATCCGAGTCCGGATCTGATTGGCCCAGATGGTAGGTCCCATGTGAGAATCGTATTGGGGAGGAGATCCCAACTCCAATTTTCTATATGATACCTTATAAGATCCATCATCTAGAATTGCTTTACGCTATCACCAATGTGTTACACTGAATCTTAAAACTTAGCCCAACCCAGTTAAAGAAAGAAATTGGCTTTGGGCCTCAATAACCAAATTGGCACATTCATAAACATTCTTTCACCTCCCATCAATTTAAAATGCTGTATGGGTATACTTGGTAGGATCCAATGGAATTGTTTCCGCACATAGACCTCATATTACTTAGAACACCTCATCTTAACAACCCCTCCCATTCTTTAGTGCATGTCCGTCTTGCATTCCAAGCAAAGCAATCTGTTACAAGTAAAATGGGTTTCAATAGGGGAGGCAGGATTAGTTAGAGACAAAATTGTACATATCGGATTGGATTATTTATCACGAGTGAACATGTCAGTGTTGAGTACAGATGGGTCCATGGTGAAATACTATACCGGCGGTATAGGTATGTACAATTTTTATGTGTTGGGAGTTGGAATGAAATTGGAAAACATGGTTTTGAACACGAAGCCTGTCATGGGAAGAGTACAAGATGAGAATTCAGAACAAAGCTGTGTGTCTTTAAGAAATTGCAGGGTGATTGGCAATAGAAATTAAACAAGCTAATTAAGAAAAAGAAAAATATAATGCAAGCCAAGTGTTGTGGGCACGGTAGTTTCTCACTTTCACGCAATAACATTAATCAATAATTCGGGGGCGGTTTGGTTTGTTTAGCTTTAGCCTTTATCTAGATTAGAAAATTTTTGACTTTTTGGCTTCTGCCACTGGTAGAGTGATAGCAGTCTGATATACACGGATGGATGTGCTTTGTTGAAGGCTAGCTCAACATTGTTGACAGCAGTGCTGGTTAATTAGT